AAGGCTAACAGGCTAAGCTGAGGTTCTTCTTCCATGAAACAGCTCTGTTGTCCTCCATCTATATTTTCCTTCAGGGTGGATATAGCTTGCTAGCAGCCTTGCACCGATGACCTACCCACATCATCATTTACCCAGAATGCTTTGCATGTACATAAAATGTCTCCGTCCGTGTTAAAATATATTTTTTAAATTTACAAAACCAAAACAGCCTACAGTATTTTTACAGTCTTTATTTTACAGTTAAAATAAATGTTTATCAAATAAAGTCTAATGTTATAACTAATCGGGTATCCCTTTAAAGCCATTGTGGGTCCCACAGATGTGTTAGCACTCAGATAAAATGTTGAGGATGACTCAACAGTTTAAGCCAATGGTTTAAGCACAGATGTTGTGCGGTGAGCAGCTGCACACGTGGACAAAATTGTTGGTACCCTTCGTTTAAAGAGAGAAAAACCCACAATGGTCACAAAAACAACTAGAATCTGACAAAAGTAATACTAAATATTCTTTTTTTATAAAAATTAACAAATGAAATGGAGACAATGGTTTTCAACCATACTTCAATACAAAATAAAATAAAATAAAATAACTCATGAAACAGGCCTGGACAGAAATGACGGTACCCTTAAATTAATATTTTGTTGCACAAGATTTTGAGGCAATCGCTGCAATCAAACGATTCCTGTAACTGTCGATGAGACTTCTGCAGCTCTCAGCAGGTATTTAGGTCCACTCCTTATGAGCAAACTGCTCCAGGTGTCTCAGGTTTGAAGGTGCCTTTTCCAGACAGCATGTTTCAGCTCCTTCCAAAGATGCTCAGTAGGATTTAGGTCAGGATCATAGAAGGCCTCTTCAGAATAGTCCCAATGTTTTCCTTATAGCCATTCATGGGTGTTTTCAGCTGTGTTTTGGGTCACCTGCGACTGAGACCAAACTTTGACACTGACAGCACGTTTCTCTCTAGAAACCCTTGATAGTCTTGAGATTTCATTGTACCCTGCAGATTCAAGACCCCCTGTGCCAGATGCAGAAAAGCAGCCCCAGAACATAACAGAGCCTCCATGTTTCACAGTAGGGACAGTAATCTTTTCTTGATAAGCTTCATTTTTCAGTCTGTGAACATAGAGCTGATGTGTTTTGCCAAAAAGTTCCATTTTTGTCTCATCTGTCCACAGGACATTCTCCCAGAAGCTTTGTGACTTATCAACATGTAGTTCGGCAAATTCCAGTTGGGCTTTTTTATGATTTGGTGTCCTCCTTGGTCGTCTCCCATTAAGTTCACTTTGGTTCAAACGACAAATGGTGAGATCTCACACTGATGTTCACTGAGCTTGAAATTTACCTTTAATCTAATTTAGGAGTTTTTCTGGGTTCTTTTGTTACCATTCGTAATATTCGTCTCTTTGATTTGTCATCAAATTTCCTCCTGTGGCCACGTCCAGGGAGGTTGGCTATAGTACAGTCCCATGGATCTTAAATTTCTGAATAATATGTGCAACTGTAGTCACAGAAGATGGTCTTATAACCTTTACCTCTAACATGCTTTTCTATAGTTTTCTTTCTAATCTCCTGAGACAAGTCTTTCCTTTGCTTCATCTGGTCCATGTTGAGTGTGGTCCACACCATGCCAAACAGCACAGTGAGTAGGCCTGTCGCGATAGTCAATAAATCAATTAATTGCACGATAACTTTTTTTGAGGTCGGTAAAAAAAA